ATCTTGCCATCTTTTTATTCTGTTTAAGGAAGAATGCATATTAATAAACTATTTCATTTTTAAGCATTTTGGGAGGCCTCATTTTAAAGCACTCTGAGGAAAACAGAGATGGACTGACCTGAATGCTGATCTCAAGAAGTTCAAAACTTGGCTAGTAAGAGAAATGATCTGTATGTGTACAAGATTGAACAGGGAGACATTCAGAAAATAGTCACAGATGTGTGAATAAAGTTGCCTACAGGGATTTCACAGAAGCCATTATTGTAGTGAAAAACTACTCAGTAGAGAGTAGTTAAGAGTCATACTTTTTTAATCATTCCCTATTACCTTTTCTTTTGGCCACACTGCTTGGCATGCAGGATCTTTGTTCCCTAACCAGGGATTGAACCCTTGCCTCCTGTAGTGGATGCACAGAATTCTATTAATAACTGGACTGCCAAGGAAGTCCCAAGATTGATACTTTTTTTTTTAAAGTACCTATTATTAATGATGGAATAGTTTGCAGCTACTATATTAATGTAGGAAAAAATATTTAAGGACTGGAAAACTGTTGATGAAATATTAAGTTTAAAAATAGCTAACCAAATACTATGTACACCGCACTCCATTTTTGAAAGAAAAAAAATATTTTTGTTGACGCAGTCCAAACACAGGTTGGAAAAGAATTTCCAGACACACAGCATTTCAGAAGGGAGTGAGTTTATTAAGAACAAAGAGCAGCCATAAGGTGGGTACTGAGAGCACAGCGGGCCAACCTCCTCACAGACCAGGGAGAGTCGACTGTTTTGGTGAGATAATAGCCAATTTTTATAGCCTCAAAACAAAGAAAATTCCTCCCTGAAGCGTGGCATTAGGTGATTTGTTAGGGGGCTACAGCATGTTCACTGGATGGGCATCTTTGCCTAATTAGAGTCAGGAAGCTTATTAGGGATGATCAGGGGCTTTTAGCAACAGTTACAAAGGGACTGAGTTAGCTTTGGAGGTGACTTGGTTCTGGGCTCCACTTCTGTGGTCTTGGTACAAGGCCTCACACCTTGGCCTGGGGAAGGACTCAACAATTTTTACATTGGTTTCTTTGTACAAGGAACATTTATTTAGAGAGCATTTATTTAGAGAATATTAACAATGAATATCTTCTGGTGGTATCACTGAGTGGTTGTTTACTTTCTTTTTACTTTTTCATAAAATCATCTATATTTTCTGCAATAAAAATATATTATTTTTGAAAATTAAAAAAGAAAAACAAAATCAGAGTTATAGGGACAGAAATACAACACAGAGGAATTTACAAGAGGGAGAAAATGTCAGTGTGTTTCAACAAGGGTCCTCCCTAGTGGAGTTGCTTGAGCCAAAAGAATGAGACCCAAGTTCAGTTCAGAAGAAAAGGTAAGTTCCAATCTTAGATCAAAGAACGAAGAGGGGTGAGCTCTGGCTCTAGAGCACACGCCATCCAGAAGGGCCTGGGTAGGGCTGCTTTATAGAGTTCTTGCTCCTGGGGACGGGGCAAACTTCTTGTGGCTCGGGCGCAGAGGAGGGCACAGGCAGGCACTACTGTGCTGCTTGTGGGCCCAGGTCACAGTGCAGGGCGCAGCATCTCTGCACACAGCCCACTGCTGCCATCCTGAATTGAGCATCCCGTGACTTCTGCACATCCTCAGCTGAGGGGTCGGCACAGCCATTAAGTGCCAGGAGCTCTGGTCTGAAGTGCTGGGGGCAAGGCCTCTGCATATGGCCCCCTATGAGCTACTGAAACTAGACTAAGCACAAAGGAAAAGAAATAGGAAAAAATGTCAGATTTTATTACCCAAATTCTACTTTTATTTTCTGGAAATTGTTAATGGGCTTTGCCAATGACAAATCCCTCATCTGGCTTTCGTCCTGCTCCTAATTCTTGAGGGGCTCTGAAATGAAGCGGTCTCCTGTAGCTGCTTCCTGCAGTCAAATTTTTCCTAAAGACACTGGTATCTAGATCTATAGCATGTCTGCAGCGCACTCTGACACTATGCTCACTGCCAGGCCCTTTATCTCCCTGGTCACATCTCTGTTGTTTTCCAGAAGAGAAGCTTCAGATTACAGAGAGGTTTGCAGAAGCAGTTAGTCAAGAGTGTCCGTTGTTGCCCAAGGTTCTCTCTCTGGAGTTTGGTGCTTGGTGGTGGGGGGACAGCTGGGGNGGACCTGGGTTTCGGTTTCCCGTGAAATGGTGGGATTCCCCGCCCCCATCAGGTAACCTGGAGCCAGCCAATCAATATGTGCCCAGTAAGAAACAAAGGGAGAGCTAAAAAGCCCGCGGACGCCTAAGTTTGAACAAAAGCCCCCGAAAGTTTGTACCAATAAAATTGCTTTGCAAACATGTAGCCAATCTGCTTAAGCCAGCTGCTAACTGCTTATGCGTACCTTATAAATTTGGGTAACCGCCTCTGCTCAGGGCTCTCTGACCCTGTACCACTGTGTTGGACGCGTGGCAGGACCCTGATTCGAGTCAGTAATAAACTTCCCTTTTTTGCGAGTTGCATTGTCTTGGAAGCCTTCTCTCTTCCCGCTCGGGGATTCGGACATCGGGCATAACACGTTGCAGTGGCTTCGCTTGTTGTGTGGCACAGGCTGCAGGCACTTGGGCTTCGTAGTTGTGGTATGTAGGCCCTGGAGCACAGGCCCAGCAGTTGTGGCACATGGGCTTAGCTGCTCCACAGTGTGTGAGATTTTACCGGACGAGCAACTGAACCCGTGTCCCGTGCCCTTGCAGGTGGATTCTTAACCCCTGGCCCACCAAGGAAGCCCACAAAGGCATTTTTTAAACGTAACACAGAATACCAGGTCCCTGTGGACAGCAGAGCAGCCTGTAGGGTGTAGCTTGGATGTATATCCTCAGTGGCTTTCAGTACCATCCAGAATTCCCCACTGGGTTTCCTTGCAGGGAGAATAAGTATTACAGGCTGATTGCCATGGTCTGATAAGGCCCTAACAGAGGCAGCATCCAGCAAAGCCTCTTGATGGAGAAGGTACTGTTTTTTATTGGATCATGAATGTACTTCCCCAGTTACACAGATAGAAGTGGTAATTGGGATATGTACCTAGATGAGCCCACCTTCTCCATTGGGAACCTACCTCAAAAGGAGGTAGGTCCTTTGTACTTTTCCTGGCGGGTTGTTGGACCCTGGCTGGTAATTAGTATGGCTTTGTGAGTTGCTTAACTGGGCTATGGCAGAAGGGACTTGTATGGAGGGAATCCCTGGGGCCTAGGGCCCAGGTTGGGACACAAGAAGGAAGAGGGTAGGGAGGGAAGAGCAGGAGAAGGATTAATGAAGATATCAAGAAGGTTCTCAGGGGGAGGGTCAAGCACCGCTATTACTGCGGTGGAGGAGAGCCCACATCCCTTTGGATTTTTTTTCTGGTGTGCTGCACAGCATGCGGGATTTTAGTTCTCCAGGCAAGGATTGAACTCACAAACCTTTCCTTGTGTTGGAAGTGTGGAGTCCTAACCACTGGGTCACCAGGGAAGTCTGAGAAGGCCACTGTTCTGAGGCCATAAAAAAAGACAGACATAGGCAGTTTCATCCCATTTTTTGTCTTTGGCATAGCAGGTCCAACTGAAAAATAGTGTTTATTAGAGACCCATTGATGGACCAACTTTCCCCATCTCCAAGCCCCATACTGGGGCCAAGTGGTAAAACATAGGAAGATGAAAGGTTTGGGGGTTGAGGGTAATACTGGAAAAACTCCAGTTCTGCAGGATACACCCCAAGGGGCTATCCTTTCGTACTGAAGACATTTGGTTTCCCATACCTTAGATGTTCTGTTTTTGATATGTTTCCAACTACTGGTTAAGGGCGGGGGCAGCAAATGTTATAAGATTTGGCCCGAATGAGAATTCAGGTTTGGGAAATTTGGAACCGGCACCAAACTGTTAATGGATTCCTTGAAAGACCAATATAGGAAGCGTCCAGATGTCATGAACTCCGATGTAACTGGGGTCTCTCTTGAATGTATAATGGCATGTGCTTGAGATAGGCAGAATGTCCCACAGGAGGTGAGACAGGACTGCCTCTTGGCCAGAGCAGCTTAGCCACGTTAGTTCCTAACCAACTTGGTCTGTTAGTGGGTGGCACACATTTGAGAAGTGGGGGTCTTCTCTTTCCTCCTTTTAGCCAAAAAGGAGGAATTCATGGACTTCCCTGTGGGGAGAGCTAAAAGTACATGGAGTTCCCATGCGACACTCACCAGATCACTGGGGCAGCTGGTATTCTGTGTTGATACTGGGAGATGTACCTGTGGAACTTTGGTTGATAAAGAAAGGATCATCCCAGACAGGGAGAAGAGGTCAGACGGTGGATGTTTTCTGTTCTTGCCAGCAGCTCACAGTGTTTCTGGATGACAGGGTTCCTGATCTTGCAACCAGCTCACAGGGCTCTCCAGCTCACTTCAGTGAAATCAACTTGACCAGAAGAGGTCAAGTTATGGGCGAGCCTTCCTTGGGAACCTTTTGCATTCAAGTGTCCCTGGTGCCTTTTCTTCAACTCAAAGCCAGCGTCCTTGTTTTGTCAGGTGGTCCTAATTACCTGGGATTTTCCCAGTCTTGTCTCCTAGCTCACAGGTCTGGCCACTTTCCTTTACCAAACTGAAACTGACTATGGAGAATGCTATTGTTGGCTCCTGGAGGTCTGCAAGGTGGGCAACAAGCCCTGACGTGGCAACTAGTGCCTTGTCCAGAGGACAGCACTACTGGTGAGGCAGAAGCAAGACTGCCATGGCTCCTCACACCCATAGGTCCCATCATCCCCAGGTATCTTTTATCAGTGGAAGGCCAGCCAGAGGCAGCAGGGAGACATGCCTGAGTTTCAATCTCTGATCCCCAACGATGCCACAGTGTTGATCATCTCAAAGGAGTGCAGTCCAGATGACTGTAGGGGCTATGCTGTATGAGAACCACACCGGGTATCAGGTTGCTGGGCAGAGTTGTTCTGAATTCGGCTAAAGACTGTTGCTGTTCTAACCTATTAGAGTGTACTCAAAGACCAGAGGCAGTCATTCCCAGGCGAACCTTCAAAGCCTACACCATCCACGGACTGGAGCCCTGAGCGCCAACGAGCCCAGAGCTGAGTGGATCGGTACAGATGAAAACGCCATCTGGGTTGCCAAAAGTTGATCCTTTTGGGTCAGGTCCCAGGGTCCTCCTGCCTGGAGTCATTCCAGCTAATAAAATGAGTCCAAGTTCCATTCAGAAGCAAAGCAAAGTTTTATTCTTTGATGATCAAATGGAGAAGTGCAAGCTTGAGCTCAAGAGTACATGTTTTTTCCAAACGGCCATTGGCAGGGCTGCTTTATAGCATTCTTATAGTGGGGAGAGGAGGATGGAGTTCTTGTGCTGCTGCTCATGGCTCCAGATCCAAATGCTAGGTGCAGCATCTCTGCCATCTTCAAGTGTTGCGCACAGCGTTTCTGCACAGGGTACACCAAGTTTAAGTGTTAGGCGCAGCTGTTTTGCATTAGGAACTCTGGTCTGAAGTGCTGGGTGCAGGCCCCTGCACTTGGCACCCTGTGAGTTAAGTGAAACTAGATTAAGCACAAAGGAAAAGAAAGAAAAAAAGGTTAGACTTATTTTGATTTCCCAGATTCTATTTTAATTTTCTGGAAATCATTAAAGCCCTTTGCCAGTGACAAGCTGAAATGGAACTGGGAATCAGGGGTGGAATTTCAGGGTGTCATGTTGGAGCTGGCTCGATGAAGGAGAGACAGCACTGAAGGCAAAATGTCCAAAGTTGATTTCTTTCATCGAATTTCCAACCACTCCTGTTTTGTGGCCTTACTATAGCAGTAAGTAGGCAGGGCCACCGTGCCACAAGTGTTAGAGGGCACCATCTATGTTGAGTCCATGTACATACTCCTCGAGTTGTACAATCTGTATAGCCCAGCGGAAAAACTGGCTCCTTTTAGAAGTTACGGCATTGCTCTTACATACAAGCAAAAAGCAAAAGAAATCCAGCCAGCCAGCCAGGGAAATTCCAGTTACTTTATTGGTCTAGATCTGCAGAGACTAGGATTCCAATAAAGATGCCTCACGGGCATCAGGCAGAGACAGGCTTACTGGGTAAGATTCTGGACTAGTCTCCCCCAGCCCCACTTCCATAGCCAGCTACATAGGCTGCAGCGTTCCGAGCAAAATGAAATGTGAAATCCCTTCCCTTTCCAAAAAGCAGGGGGAAAATGCAAGTTATTTGAAAAGACTCAGAATATACCACTGTAGGATAAATATAACTTTGAGCTGAAAACATCTGAGAATCAACAGATGCAGGAAGAAGTTTTGTTCGTGCTCTCATTTTCTTTCTAAAACAGAGGTTTTCAAAAGAACTCAACTGCCAAAAACCCTCCTCCAAGGGACATGTCCTGTATCAGGGGCAAACAGTGACTCCTGTCGACTTTAAGGAAAAATGCACACGGTCAAGGGTTGTGAGTTTAACTTTCCTGTAGGGGCCTTACTAACAGCTATCACCTGGGAAACAGTCCCCCAGTCACTCTGCTCAAAAGAGGCAGGGAAGCAACCAGCTTCCCTATGCTTCTGGGCTAGTGAAAACATGCAGTCAAGCATTTTTCTCTGTAAAAGATTATGGCCAGTTACAAAAAACAGACATCTCAAGTTAATAATTTTAGTGCTTTTGTACATATGGCAAGATGCACAAATCTGGGTTCATTAGAATACTTCCTGAGATACACATCTAACTTTGTAAGGGGCTGGTCTTCCAAAACACAGAGTACCTCATCTTATTTTTCATCCTAAATTCCTCTCAAGGGGCATTGTTGGTCAGCAGTATGATAATATGAAGTTAATAATATGATAACTTAATCCTATAGAACTGGGTACAAGCAACCAGAACTCTTTGATCTTCTCACCTCCTGTCACCAGGTGAGAAAGATGGCACTAGGGTAAGAAATTGTATAAATAGGCTTTACAAAAACAAAGCTTACCTTCTATTAATTTCCCCCCCTCCATATATTTCTCTGTGCCTACCATTTACTGTCCCTTGAAATCCTAACAAACCTTTTCCTTGTAAAGATGGTATATACACCCCAAATTCTAGCCATTTCTTCATTATAGTTTTCTGTGCACTTCTGTATATGTATGTGAATAAAGATCTACCTTTCCTCTTGCTAGGTTAACCTGTCTCTTATAAGTTTAATTTGCAGGCCTCAAAGCACTGAAGCTAACAGGGAAGAGGAAAGGTTTTCCTCCCTCCCAACGACATTAAAACATAAAACTCTTTCTTCCTTCTTTGGTTTCTCTTTTGCTTTGTCATAGTGTCTTTAGTTGCTTCTTAGTGCTACTTTATATAAGGAAATTTAAAATTTAAATTATTAACATGAATTGTACCATTTACCTTTATATTGTACAGTGTAGTTTTAAGTGCAAATATAACCACATTTGTGCAAAACTCACTGAAATTATACAATTTATATTTTGTAGCTCATTCATGCATATGTATTTTATTCTTATAAGAACAATGGAAGAGCTGCACAAAAATAACTCAACTGTTTTATATTTTACTTCTTCATGTTCACATATTCTATTAATACCAATACTCTCTACCATGACTTATGGATGACTAAGGAAGGACCGCTAAGAAAAACAACTATGGATTGCTCATCTTTCCCTTTCTTTTTCTGTAATTTTTGGTATAAGTGGTGGGCTGATACAGAGAAGTAACAAGAAAAAGAAAGGATATGTTAGGGTTCCTTGGTCACTTAGGTCTCTTAGAATGCCACAGCCTTCTTTCTCTGTCAGAAGCAAGTTCTATTTGAATGAAAAATGTGGCCTCAGCCTCTACTTAGTCATAGATGTAAACCACTTACCTTGTAATGGCATTGAGTCTCACTGAACTCCCACACATCCTTGGTCCATCAGAATTCTGTGTTCATGTGGCATCGTCTGACATTATATGCAAATGCATGGCAAAAAACTGAGGACTACATACTGCGCCTATCTCCTCTGCTCCTGTGTGCACGCCCCGGTCCCCATGGACTGCACCTACAAAACATAAATTCAAATGTACAATTATTAAGAATTTTCAGGATGATTTCAGGGCCCTAGACAGTTAAACCATGGGGCCCTTTTGAACAGGGCACCCTCTATAATTGCACAACTACATGTGGCTAGTAGTTACCATGTTAGATAGTACAGGTCTACAATACATAAAGAATTCTTTCAATTCAATAACTCCTATTAGGTTCAATACCTGCATTGGGAAGATCCCCTGGAGGAGGAAATGGCCACCCACTCCAATGTTCCTGAAGGGATAATCCCATGGACAGAGGAGCCTGACAGGCTACAGTTCATGGGGTTGCAAAGAGCTGGACACGAATGAGTGACTGAGCATGCACACAATGTCAATTCCCATAGGAAACTGGGTAAAGGATATAAATAGGCAATTTACATGAGAGAAAGTACTACTAAGATACAAAAAGATGCTCAAAATTATTACTAAATTAAAAAAATCAAATTAAATCCATGAGCCCAGAAAAATCACAAAGTTGGACAATGCTAAATGTTGGTGGGGATACAGGTATAAGGTGTCATCATTAGCTGGGGGTTGGGGACGATGGACAAGTGCATACATTATGAACAGTGACTTAGTCAAATTAAATACATGAGAGCAATTAATTCTGCTGTTAGCTATTTATCCGAAAAAAAACAGACATTTCTTTTTGTGTTGATTGTCTTCTCCACTTGACTATAAGCTCCACTGAGAGCAGGGACTTTAATTAGGTCATCCAGCTCAAGTGGTAAAGAATCTACCTGCAATACAGGAGACACAGGAGGCTAGTGTTCGATCCCTGGTCAGGAAGATCCCCTGAAGGAGGAAATGGCAACCCACTCCAGTATCCTTGCCTGGGAAATCCCATGGACAGGACAGCCTGGCAGGCTACAGACCACGGGATCACAGAGTTGGACATGATTGTGATTGAGTGCACACACACTGTCAAGTCCAATGTAGGGATAAGGGCTGGCACACAGTAAATGCTCAATAAGTACTTGCAAAATGAATGAATGAATGCTGTAGTCATTACAGAAACCCGGTGAAGCATGAGTTTTACAAATGAAGAAAATGAAGCACAGAGCTACCGTCATGATTCCAACATCGTATGTCCAGTTGGAGGCAGAGTTGGCATTAGCAGAAGGTCCAAAAGGCTGACTCCCAGGCATCATCCATTTATTATTTCAACATTTCTTACTGCACATCTCAGGGAAAATCAGCCTACAAGTAACTGGAGAGAGCAACTGCACAATCACAATTTCAGGGTTTTTTTTTTTTTNAGTTGCTACTTTTTTAAAAAGACAAAAAAGGGATACAAGGAAAGGGAAAGATAGGAAGCTATCTAATAGACTTAAGGTTTTAATTTTACTGCACATATTCAGCCGTTCAGAAACAAAACAGGCAGACTCAGACAGAACCAATTCACAGCTTTATGTTACAGCTTTAATATTAAAAAGGGTTAACATTTACCCGCCAGCTTGTTTGCTTTTTGCCTTTCACTTTCTCTCTGTAGTTTTGATGAGTTATCTTTTGAAAATAGTTTGAGTACTTGCTTCGGTTTTCTCAGCTCTTTTTGGCGATCCTTCCCTTGGCAGGTCGCACCTTATTTGGGTCTGAGTACTCATTCTACACCTTCTCTCCACCCGCTATTTCATGAATCAAGTGTTAACTAAGTTTGTAGCAAAACAAATCCATCTGGAAATTGGCATTTATATGATGTGTTCCTAAAACTGCCATTTATTATTCCTGGCGTGTGCGTGTGTGTAAAAAAACTCAGAGTAATTTAAAGCAGGAAGTGCTGAAATGGCTGGGTGTGCATGTAGAAGCAGGAATGCATGCCATAAGGGGAGGGCATACACTGAGAGCTCCAAAGGTTGAATGACTATCGTTGGTATCAGGCATGCTAAATATTTGACCATTTTAACTAAACACTGTTAGTCTGAACATGTTCTATCTTCTCTATTTACTAAAGGATTATTTTTCAATTGCAAAAAGGATTATAGTTATACCAAGTCAAAATACATAGCCTCTTTTCTTCATTAGTTAATTTATTTATACCCAGCCCTGCTTATGGCAAGAGGATTTGAACTAGTTCAAACACGGTGTGATGGACTGGATTATCTGGGGAAGCATTCTTTTCCTATACTGATTCCTACTTCCAAATGGATAACAGTACTAAAATTAATAACAAAATAATGATTCAGAATCACTAATATCCTCTGAGTGCCTACCATGTGCCAGGCTCTTTGCCAAGTACTATCCATATATTTTCTCATGCAGTCCTCACAACAAACCAGGAGTAGACACTACTTTTGACTCCATTTTATTGATAATAAAATGAAGTTTAGAGAAATAGAGTGAGCAACAGCATTTATTATAATGTAAGCAGTGAAGATGGGAATGAATGCAATCCTGTTCCAGGAGGTTTCCTCTCTACCAGCCCTATTCAGTAAAGTCCTGGTGGAAGATGTCCTGGCTGGAGGAGAAGTTCATAATCATTCACTTGAATCCAGGGGACGCTTCCTGACAGATTAGAGGAGAAGGACAACTAAGGCTGGAGGTACAGAGACAAACTGTGTGGTTATCTCAACTTGCTCATATCCAGTGGGGGGAATATAACAAGTTCCCACACACAGTTTTCCCCATGGCATCTCTCTGAGATTTCAAATAGTGAGCACATCTATTATACTGACCAGTCTATCCCCTGGAACATTTCTGTTCGATGGGTATTTGTTAAATGAATAAATATACCATTGGGTTCACGAACTCAGAAAAGAAACCTTCTTAGGAGGCGAGTGTCTAGAGTTACTACCTTCAGGAATTAAAGAATGGAACAGGAAGACAAGTGAATTTCCCTCTAGTAGACAACTTCTAAGAATAAATGTTTCATGTTTCAGTTTCTGTGGGTCAGAAGCATCCAATTAATGCCTGTATTCCGGACCCACAGAAATTGTGAAATATGAAACATTTATTGTTTCAAATAGATAGGTTTCAGTCTAATTTGTCATGCAGCAATAAATAACTAACACTTTTCCTGATAACTTCGACAGTAAAGAATCTGCCTGAAATGTAGGAGACAAGACCCAGGTTCAATCCCTGAGTCAGGAAGATCCCCCGGAGAAGGGAATGGCAACCCACTCCAGTATTCTTGCCTGGAGAATCCCACGGATAGAGGAACCTGGTGGGCTTCCCCAAGCATGGGCTTCCCTGGTGGCTCAGATGGTATAAGAGCCTACCTGCAGTGTGGGAGATTCAGGTTTGATCCCTGGGTCAGGAAGATCACTGGGAGAAGGAAATGGCAACCCACTCCAGTATCTTTGCCTGGAAAATTCCATGGACGGAGGGGCCTGGTGTATAGTCGTGGAGTTGTAAAGAGTTAGACGCGACTGAACGACTTCACTTTCACTTTCCAATGTAACAAAGACTATAAAAAGGAACTGAAGCTATGGATGGTATAAGACCATTTATAGCTGACCTGTTTGTTATTTCCTGGCTGATTTACCCAGAGTAATTATCTGTAAACATCCTTACAACAGAAAGGGACAATGTGCTTATTTTCAGAGGCAACAAAAGGGAGAGGAGGCCTCCCTTCAGTCCCATTCCACAGTCAGTCCTAGGAAGGACGGACACTCAAGAAAATGAGCATGTCATCACAGCTTTGGAAAGGGAAGATAGCCAGGCATAGGGAGTATGTCCAAGAGTAACAATTAACTCTATGGAAAAATTCATCCTGGTTTCCAAATACTCTTTAACCCTGAGGTTGGGTGATATATCAACTGGATTAGGTTCAGCTGTGTAAAACAGAAAGCTCTCAAGTAACACAGGAAAATGAGCTTGCCTATCAGTTACCTAGAATTCTCACATAGGACGAGATCATTTGAGGACTGGTCTAGCAGCTCAGGGATGTCATGCAGGTCCAGTCTCCCCCATTCATCCCTGAGGCGATGCCTAGAGGGCAGCCCCACTCTCCCAGTCCGACATGACTGTTTGATTTCTGTGTGTACATTGTCATTCTTACAACAGGATGGAGGAAAGGGCAAGGAAGAGCATACTCATCCACTTCAGCAGACCTCCTAGAGCCCCACATGACTCTTGTGTTTCTTATTGGCCAGAACTTATTCATGTGGACACCGATAGCTGGAAAGGAGGCAGTGAAATGTGTCCAGATAAACATCAAGGTCCTGTTACTAAAAGCAAGGGGAGGCCAGAAGTAACCTTTGCTACAGGTAACAGGACTGTCAGAGCAGCAGATGGCTTGTTAATTCTAAGATTTCTAGGATCTGACACATTTCACATTTTCAGTTCTATCTCTCGCCTTTAATTCTATCAAACAAGACTAGACACCACTCTCTTTGCCCTTCCATCTTCATACCTCTGCCTCTGCTGGTGCCGCTGCTGGAGTCCCAGCCCCCACCATCCATATTCATCCAGCAACACTGTCACTTCTCCTGTGATTCTTTTCTCAATCTTCTCCCTCTTCTGAAAACTCACAGCACTGATTTGTACTTTTATCCACTTACTAGAGGAAATAAATATTACCATGTGCTTTTAAACTACTAGACACTCTGTCAGATATGCAAATATGAATTAGGTAAGGACCCAACCATTGAAAGAATGTTTGGTGAGAGCAACTGATAAATGTTTGCTAAATAACAAATGACTAATCTGCCTTGAAGCCTCATACTAAGAATTGATTATATATGGTTTTCATAGTCATATGCATTATGAAGGATGAAATGTGGCCCATGTGCATCTAACTGAATGGGATTTCTTTAATACCTCCTGTGTGTTTGGTACTGTGTTTTGCACATGACTTGTCCATCCTACACTGACATGTTTAACAACAATGTGGCTGACATTGTGCAAGGTGCTTGGCATAAGAAGAAATGCCTGATCCTTTTCCCTTAGAAATTCAGGGAATAGACAAATAAACAGATTATTACAATCTGTTGTGATAAAGAACTAGGCTGGAGACACCTATGGAGTGATAACA